CAGGGTATCTGACCCTGACCCTAGCTGCAAACGGCCAAAATACGGTGTTGAAGATCAAGGCCTACCACCAACCGGACCTACCCTACGGGCTCCTTTCTTCCAACCGCCTACGTACAGACCTTGGCATCTACGCTACCACTAAGGACCTGACCCTACGCAGGGACCGGGATGACAAGATCGTCGGCCACCTGCAGGCATCGAAAAACGTGCTTTTCGTCAGGACAAAAGACCCTGACCTAGCGCTAGCGGCAGTGGACCCCCTACTCTTGCACCGGCGATACGGGCACGCAGGATTCCGCCGAATCGCTACCACTGCAAAGGATCATCAAATTGAACTCGAACACAGGGACACCCTAGAGTGCGAAGCATGCTCGCTAGGCAAGGCCACACGCCTCGTTTCAAGGGACCCAATCCCAAAGACTAATGATCCAACACAGCTCTGGCATGCAGACATCCAAAAGGTGACCCCGATTGGTCATGGCGGATTCAACTACTTTCTACTCATGGTCAACAACGCTACTCGCTTAGTGAGGACGGCCATGCTTAAACACAAAGATGACGCCTCCGACGAGCTGATCAGGATGAATATGGAACACAAGAATATGGTCGGCCGATACGTGGCCACCTGGCACCTAGATGGTGGCCGCGAGTTCAACCGCTTTAGGAAATGGGCGAATCATGCAGAGCGAGGCATTCAAATCAAAATATCACCTCCTCGAACACCCGAAGCCAACGGCCTAGCTGAACGATACGGCGGCTTGCTCAACCGAATGAGCAGGGTCATGATACTAGATGCTGGCCTCCCTGCTCACCTCTGGCCGTACGCTGTACGCCTCTCAGCGCAGATCCTGAATCGCCTCGTCCCCTACCACAGCGCTGTCAGGAAGACCCCCGTGTTCCTATACAGATCCCACTACAACCTCCCGAATCCTAACGCGTCACTAGACTTCCTACGCGTATTCGGATGTCGTGCCTACCAACACATCCCGCAGGAAGATCGAGTCGCATCCCAGAAAATGGGACCTCGTGCAAAAGTCGGATACTTCGTCGGTTTCGATGGGGACAACGGACACGTTTACTACGTGTGGGATCCTATATCTGATAAAATTAAACGATCACGAGACGTTAAATTCAACGAAGATCGAACCTACAAGGATGACAAGGAGGATCCCGGTGGAGTTCCTACACGCGAACCTGACCCTAAAGGACCAACACCAGCTGGCCCAGGTGCCGCGCTCAAGTTAGACAACGCGTTCCTGCACCAAACAACCAATATATCAGATAACACGAGGGCCCTGATTGAGCAACCGGACCCTGAAGAAGACGTCATCCGAGGCAGAATCCACACCATATCTGCCTCCGCAGAGCCTCCACCTACACGCTCGATCGAGAATGCCACAGAATACGAGGCATCCTCAACGAAATACGCCGCGCAGGACTACCGCCTGCCGGACCCTACTGAGCCAGAAGAACAACCCATACTGAGGCGCTCCGCAAGGACCACTAAAGGCAAATCATCAACATGGCCAGATTACCAACAACTGGCCACGGTTGACCGGGTGACCCTACCCCACCTCAAACAACACGAAGTGGTCGTTCCGAACACCTACAGCGAAGCGATGAAGTCCCCGCTGGCACCATACTGGAAAGATGCTATGGATACACAGATCGATAAGATACAGAATATGGGCACCTACGAGATCGTGAACCGACCTCCAACCGCTCGCGCAATCCCAGGCAAGTGGGTGTACGACCTCAAGGTCAACACTGACGGATTCGTCACCCAATTCCGTGCTAGATGGGTAGTCTGCGGCAACCGCCAGATACCAGGCATCGATTACGACGAATCGTTCGCTCCTGTCGCCAGCGAAGCGGCCCTGAAGCTATTCATGACGAACGTCGCTATAAAAGATCTTGAATGGGAACAATGTGATATAGTATCTGCTTATCTACACGCGCAGATACAGGGCAAACGCGTGTTCATGAAACAACCTACCGGATACCATGAAGGACCACCGGATCAGGTGTGCCTATTAAAGATGGCCCTCTACGGCCTCCGCCAGGCGGCCCACCTCTGGCACCAAACGTTTGACGAAACACTTAAAAGAATCGGTTTCGAACCACTGAGGGAGGATCCCTGCGTATACAAAAAGGGTGATATCTGGTTGATTATTTATGTTGACGACTCCGCTATCGCTGGCCCCAGGAAGGAAGACCTAGCCGAGGTCAAACAACACCTAAACAAGGCATTTGGCCTGAAGGAAATGGGGGAACCAAAGGTTCTACTAGGATGCAACGTTCAACGTGACTACCAAGCAGGCACGATATCACTATCCCAACCAACGTACGTGGAGGAGTGCCTCAATGCAGCGAACCTAGGATCCTGCACCCCCTCCGCCATTCCGATGACCGTTGCCTACAAAAAGTCAGATCGCTCGAATATGACTACCGAAAACGTCAACCTAGCCGAATATCAAAGCCTTGTAGGGCGTTTGAACTGGCTAACCACAAAGACCCGCCCCGATATACGTCATGCAACGTTTAGACTTCAAAGGCGCATGAACACTCCCACTACGGCCGACGCTAAAGCATTGAAAATTGTATACAGATATCTGAAAAGGTCCATCCCGTACGGGATCACCCTCGCCACTGACCATACCAAAGGCATCGAAGTCTTCGTAGATGCCGCCCACGCTGACCACGAAGACGGCAAATCAACGGAGGGATACGTCATCTTCTACGCTGGCGGCCCAATCAGCTGGTCATCCAGGAAGCAATCGCTAGTTGCACCGTCATCTACGGTAGCAGAATACTGCGCGTTTGACTCCGCCGCCAAAGAAGCCTTGTATATAAAGAAATTGGTTGAAGCGTTTGACCTCAAGGCCTCCGTTGACGGCAGGATACCCTTGTACACCGACGCCGCCAACTCCCTACGGATCCTGAACCACGGAGGCTACACCAGGTCCACTAGATGGCTCGATAATCGTTACCTATTCGTAGCCGATCTGATCACGAAGAACGCTATCACCATTCAACACATCCCAGGGACCACCAACCCGGCGGACGGCCTCACCAAGCCGCTTGATAACGAATCGTTCAAAGCGTTCAGGCACCTCCTCGGAATGACCCCCATCTCCTCCCCGAACCTGCATCCAGGGAACACCGGTTGAGATAGCCGTTCCTTCCTATCTAGGCAATGCCTAGAGCCTCGTTACGAACGCTCCCTCGCCTAGGGGGCCGTGTTGGAACGTAATCTCAGTAGATTACTAGTAGTCGAGGTCACGTGACCCGAACTCCGTAACTTCAACTGCTCCTCCGAGCGCGCCTAGATAGCGAAGAATCAAGCGTTTTCAACGACTTCAGTATTGACCTAAAACGTCGTTTCAACATTATATAGTAGACTGGTAGCGGGCAAGGAATCGGACACGCACGGACACGGATACGGACTTGATAGTGCGGACACGGAGAATATGTACCCCACTCCTCGTGGGGCTGCTATTTCTGGTATGGACATTTAAAGTGATATCAAAGCTGGACTGGTTATTGTATCGGGCTGTCTTGACATTGTGATCAAGGGACAGCCATTGCGAGGCTCATTCGATCCTTCGGTAATCTATCAGGGTGATGATGATGGTGTTCGGAGGATCAAGCTATGGGGCGGTGGCATGGCATTAAGGGTAGGTTGTGGAGTAAATATGTCTAGATATTGCTTAGCATTTCTTGGACTTCTATTGTTCTTACTTTTAGTCATTCACTAGGAGTTTGCCTGTCTCTTCATCTCGCATTGCTTCTACACAATGATCCCACGCAGAACACTCACTTCAGTAATGAGACTGAATCTCAGAACCTATTACCTGAACCAATCGGCTCATTGTCATGGTCCTGGCCAGAATTGTGGCCTACAATTTTTCATACAATATTTGTATGCCTTTTGACATGGTTTTTCCTCAAACTTCGCTACCAGTATGTGCTTGGTACATAGATATTATAGGAACCAAGCTAATATATTAAGTATAGTTATGATGCAGGCATAGTCATCAATGAAAGAAAATGTCTAAGTGAGGAAATGGTGGCTCGGTATCGATATCTCAACCAGAATAAAAACAACGGGAATGCAGACACTGGGAATGGGCAGGAGGGCAGGAGAAACTCTCGGGTTATAGAGACTGTGTGAGATCTATAAACTGGTTCGTGATAATCAACAATCGCCTGAAGAAAGCTGAGATACCCTTCAAATAAGACAGCATGATGAATGCATGATCGGAGGTTATCATGGTGTTACAGTTAGTTGTGCTATGGACAGACAGGTCCGACTATTATTATCATGTTTAGTAGTCTCTAGTTATAATATAATGATACCATTTCCCCATGAAAGCCAACTCCTACATACCACACGTCAGAAACAGGATCAGCGGGTGTCTTGTTGAGCGAGGAGCAAGAAGACCAGGCGCTGCTACCTCAGCACTGGCCGTACGGGGTCGGGAATGAATTCGTCGCGAGTAAGCCGAACCATCCGTTTGTGATCAAGGTGGCGTTGAGTGTGCATGAGCATCGATGGGGGTTTGTGCCGGCGTATGTGACGGCTTTTGTGAGTGCCGGGGCGGTGTTGGTGAGCCGGGTGCTGGGAGTGTGGTTGTCCGCTGTTGGGGGTAGAGTAGGCATTGTGCCCCGGAGCATGTTTGAGGGGACTGAAAAGGCGTTCTTTATGCGGTTTGTCGAGGAGAGACCGCGTGGGGATGAGGTTGCGGTGGCGGAGTGGTTTTTCGGAAATTGGATTGGTTGGTGTGCGGCTGGGGTTGCGCTTGGGGTGATGGGGATGGTGGTGTTTGGGGTGAGAAGGGAGCCGAGGGTGCGGAGGGATAGGGTGTTTACTTTGGTATTGACAGTGTAATGGAATTAAATTGGGTTAATTGATTAATATATAATTTGGAGACCTGTCTGCGTTTTTACCGTGATAATCAGAGACGTAAGATGGTGGTGGATGCGCTACCTAGTCAGCGCTAGCGCTGCTCAGACGCCTTCGTGTACTCCATCCAGTCGACGAGTATCTCATCAATCGTCGCGTCGGGAAAGAAACCCGGCCATTGCATATCGTACACTTCGGGGGGTATCATCGTATAATCATTTAATCCGTCCAGTGGCAGCTGCGATGATTCAACGTGACTGTTCTCAGCTGTGGATGAGCTCATGTCGTCAGTTGGTTGCACCGCAGGTTGAATGGAATCATTCTTATTCTTTGATAACATCCGGTTTCCAAACCACCACTGAACTCGTTTCAGTCGCTGTTCATAGTGGTAGAAGACATCTCGGTCACCGGAGGCATCCAAGCTAGACGTAACTAGCGCCTGGATGCGGAGGATACACCGACTGAGCATGCTGGATATGTCAAGCGCACGGCACAACTCCGCTGTGTGAGGCTGTATCGAAGGCTCTGATGCTGCTACAACAAGCTTGCACGCCAGAGTCAGCGCGAAGCCGATCTGAATCCATATGGCGTTGTTAAACGCCATTTCGCTGCGCAACGGGAGGCAGACATAGTGATCGAGTAGCGCTTTGGCCGCAATGAGACCCATACGTAGGGCCTCAATTTGAAATGGGACTTCACGCCGCGGGCTTTGTGTACTGGGTTTATGATCGAACAAGCTGATCTGGCAGAGATACAGTTCAGCAGTATAGTATTGCATGTAAAGGATATCTGAGGGTCATCAGCATCGATGGGCTTTTCATAATCGGTCGGCTTACTGTTTTCATTCAACGGACAGGGTAGGCTAGCCCGATATTGCTCCAGCTCCAGTTTCATCTCACGAAACGAACGCTCACTGCTTGAGCCAGGGCCGTGGGTCCCTAGAATGTTCTGTGATGAAATAAAAGTAATCCTCTCCGATAATCGTTGAAGTTGTACTATATGAAGCAGGTGCTGGTCGGAGGCATACTCGGCATCTGTGGCCAGAAGCTTGCAGCAGTCATCAAAGTAAGGCATATACGGAAAGGTGCATTGTTTGTGGAGGATCTGCGAAACGCTACAAGCCGTTAATCCCAGCAGGTAGTAACTGTGTAGAGTAGATGCCTAGACTCACCTCGATGCGAAATAAAAGATACCGAGGACGGCCCGTCTTTCATCGTGCCCCCAAGATACCGACTCTTTGTGTTCTTCAGGATTAAAGTTCACTCGAGTCCTCCAGAGTCGATACTCATGCGCACGGTCCAGTTGCAGGTCCGTGATAATGCTGATCGCAAGGTGTAGATATTGAGAGAACCGGCGTGGCCGTGAATGATATTGACACCTAAACTTGTCAGCTCAGTGTTCGGACATGGAATATCAGGCGTACCATGCAATGTGGACTAGCAGCCCTTGCAGCACCTCGAATGAGATGGGTCCATCGTAAATCATGCAGTCGCTAACCTTCTTCTTCACCTCTTTTTCGAGCATACGCTGCAGAGGCATGTTGTCATACAGAGTAGCCGTCAAGATAGTAAGGAAGAGAAACGGCTTGTCTTTCCTTAGGCTTTCGGCAGAGGTCTGTGGTGGGACGACTACGAATGGACAGTGAGGCATTAGTGTCGTCCGAAATTCATTAAGCAGCATGTTGGCGGCCTCCACGGTAAGCAAGCCTTTGTCAATGGCATCCTTGGACTGCGAAACAGTGCTTGCAGGGCTCCCATTGGCCGTGCTGTTACCCCTCTTAAGACACGGTTAGTCTCTTTGTATAGCGCAATTGAGGGTGTTCGACGCACCAGGCTTGGAGATACCGACGTCGCTAGCAGCTGATCGACTTTGGCTTCGAGTAGATCGATCCTCCTATGCTTGGTTAAAAGGCGACCTACTTGTCCGTGGCTCGCAACTAACCTGTCCTTGCTCTCTCTCTTGGTCCCTCCATTTGTGCTTCGGGTTTCTGGGAAATGACACTCTTTCCCCAGCCGTTCGCATCTAGAACTAGTAAGCCCACCAAACAATCAGGTCGCTCAGACAAGCTCACCGTTCGCAACTCCCCGTAGCCCCGTGGCGATTGCACCGTATCTTTGCTCTGGCACAGTTCTGACATGTCCTTACTGAGCCGTTAGAATACCGGCCCCTGGGACGGGAAAGCTCACTCTGGACCAAGTGAGCCATCACAGCTGGAGATTTTCGCGTCACCGCTGTATTTGATAGATCCAACGGTTAAGCGGTAATCTTGGAAACCTACAGGGAGTGGAGTTCCGTGCGCAGGCCGAGGAGACGGCAAGAAGGTAGCTGGGATGAAATGGGGCCCTGTAGACCCCAGCCATGGAGAGCAGAGTCCACTGAGGCGAAGCGAAGCTGGTGTATGCGGGGCGGAGTTGGTACCCGCCAGCCACACTAATGCCGGCCGCGGTCACGTCCCCTGTCTCTCTTGGCGCGTCAGCTTCCTCGCTGCTGCAAGTATCGGTTTGTATTGAGTTTCAAGCATTTTGCGCGGGCTTTCTTTAGAAATTTGCATATCAATCTGAGACGACAGGCTGCCGCGAGTAGCCTCCGAGGCCGTGCGAAGTACCGAATTCGTGATGCTTCCATGGTTCATCGCAGATGTTACTCTCTAGCAAGT